AGTCAAACTTCACTTAATCCTACATATTCTGATTCGTCTCGTCGAGCTGATCACGAGTATCACGTCTTTACTTCTATTGAAATGCATCTTCAGGAAGAGAAACTCCGATTACGAAGAAGGTTGCAAAAACTCCAAACTTTTTTGTTTTCAGGAAAAACGCTATAACTTTTTCCACTTTAGTCATGTAACTCTGGATCTACTATTCTCAGATTCCTTATGGAAAACTGGTTCTAGGGATGGTGTTCATAAGTCCTTGAATCCAAAAACCAAATTCTTGCGTAGGCCAAAACTAATTTGAGTCAAAAACCTTAACCGAATTTGCAGACCTAACACAGATTTGTGTAGAGAGAGTAGACCCAATATATGCATCTTATCAGGATCGCCAGAAGCCCTGCTTCAAAGTTACGAAGAGATTTTTTAAAAAACACTTTTCGTTGTTGAGAAAATTCCTTTTTTCTAAACTCGAGATGAAAATGGTGGAATTCTGCCCGTAATTCTCAACTTTCTCGGTCAAAAACCAACTTTTACGCAATAAAAATATCATATTCGGAATCAGAATAAAAAACTGAGTCGAATGATGTGTATTTCTTGTCTTATCCGATTACTTTCGTTTTTTTTCATTCATTTTCACGTTAAAAAATTACCCAGATTTTCACCCAAAACTGAAAATCAACCAGAAATTTCCAAAAAACGAAAGTAATCGGACATGATAAGAAATACACATCATTCGAATTATAGAAAAATGGACACGTCAAGCAGGCTATCCAATTGTAAAAGTCAAGAGAATGTATCAACATTACTTACTCCGCAACGACAACGGAGAGTTGGAGCTCAAATGGTCATCAGTCAACAACCATTTAATCTCTTTTTCTAAACGACGAAAGAGAAAAGTGGTGGATTCCACTCATATACTTTCATCAATCATGGACGCAGGTGATCGATATTGTTTTTGGTTACTTTTCTACACTACACTAAAGAACATGACGTTTGTGAACAAAGTGCACTTGGAGAAAGGACCTAGTTCTTGAGTTCCTGCTGCGCGGCGCAGATCCAATAGTCGACATACGTTATTCGATAGAGAATGAAAAACTGAACAAATGTAAGGGTTTGACAATGTTCTCCTATTACGTTAGCCTGGTTTCTTTGGGTTTGTTTTAAATCAGAGGTGAAAAAGTTGGAATTCGGCCCATAACTCTCAATTTTTCCCAGCTGAACTGAACTTCTAGGCAATACAAGTATCATATTCGTAATCAGCATCGAAAAATGAATGGATTGATGTGTATCTTTATCTTATTCGAGTACCTTAATTTTTTTCGAATTTTGGCGTTGAAAAAATCTGAAATCAACTCAAAAAATGGAAATCAACTAAACATTTCAGAATAAACAACAGTACATTCGTCTTTAAATCCTGATCCCGAATATGATATCTGTATTACATAGAAGTTGAGTACTGTTGGAAAAATTGAGCGTTATGTCCAGAATTTCGGCTTTTTCACCTCTGATTTAGAACAAACCCATAGAATACCACGTTCATGCGATACAAGGACAATGTCAAACCCCTACAATTGTCGGTTTTTGATTTTCTATTGAATGACGTGTTTAACAGCTTTATAGCATCTATCTATGCCGACAACAATAATTTAAAATTTCAGCTTTGCGCTGGAGACTCGAACCTTTTTTGAAAATGTATACGAAATCCTCTTCCACATAATTCGAAAAACATCTGAATGAGCCGAAAGAAAGAACGTCTTTTAAAACCCTTATGCGCCGAGATTCATTAAGTTTGGTCGAAATGACATGAAGTTAAGCTAGACCAACTATCTCGTGTAACACGCCTGTTGAAATAACAAAGAATTGAAATTTCTATCCGTTTAAATTGTTCTTGTATTTCTCTAGATTTGTGATATTCTGTAATTGGTTTTTGAACGTAAGAAGAATAAAATAATTTTAACCTACTAAAGCTATGTTTACAAGTAGCCCAGAATCTTGACTGGAAGGGCAACAATATTTATACAGTACGCAACACACATTGTTGTCTGAATGAGCAAGAATGTGATATGAAAAATATATGCAACATTTTTGTTGGAAATTTAAGACAAGATTCTTGGTTGAAATTTTTGTTTTGTAATTTCAGCCAACGATCTTGAGATAAAAATATTTATAAACTATTCCACAAGATTTTTGTCTGGAATGCTATACTTAGTTGCTAAGCGACTTGAAACCAAAAATGGTATTATTCGAAAACAAATATTTAATGAACTTTTACGTAGATTAACATCTCACTTTGTTTGCTCTGCATGAAGGGATTTTGTAGCACAAGTTGGTTTACAATCACATGCTTCGGCAACAAAGGAGTTTTTACACTAGAACATATTCAAGGATGTGCTTAGTAGATGCACGATGAAAACGCCGTTTTGTCTGTTCTAAGTAGAAACTGAACTTTGAGCAAGGGAAAACGACATGAAAATTATTTACTTCTGTACTCCTATGGGCTACGATGAACTGCTGAAATCAAGGACGTCTTTCTTTCTCCTTCGTTTTGCTATTTTGGCTTGTTAATGCTCTCTTTTGTTAATGCATCACTCGCACATGCTGATTTTTCTTTCATGCTATCTGCTAAGCTGAAAATAAGAGATATCACACACTTTGATGAAAGCAGAGAATGGATAAAAGATCCCTAGAATACACGTTATATTCTGAAGACACACCTGTAAAGCATACAAACAAAAATATCCGTTGCCTTTTTGCGTTAGGAACTAAATTTTTTTCTATCGATTCTAAATATTATTTGGTAATGTTATCAAAGCAATAAATATATTATATTTCATACCTAAGCAGGATTTCCGATTGTTCTCAGGGATGGGAACCGCTAAAAAATTTTCTTCGCAGAAAGTGGCTGGCGAAAAATACTTTTGTAAATTTGTGGCAGAAGGGTTGTTTGTGGAAAAACGTCAAAGATTTTGCCGGACAGTTCAAAAAATCTTTTTAGGGAGAGGCCAGTCTCCCCTCCCCCTCCTATCATAGCATACCGACAGAGCATCCGGCAGAGCAGCCACGGCATCCATCAGATCCCAAAGGAAGACGATGTTAGTCCTTGTAGTATAGAAGATAGATGTCCTGACTTTAGCCCTGGGAATACGTTTGCTAGGTCATGTTTTAAATCCTGACGACCGCCAGGACGTCATATACGCTTTTTGAATCCTATAAACCTCGACTTGACTAGCGTACGGACAGGCATTCCGACGTGATACTTGAGGCTGAAAAAGGTGTGGATAGTATCTTACTTCCACAATAGTCCCTACGCCAGTCAATCACTTTTTGATTTATCTAGGTAAGAAACGCGTGTTGATTTTTACAATTCTTGAACCAAATTAAATTCCTCCGTCCCACTCACAAACTCTGTATACAAATCAGGTAAAAAGCTAGCCAGATGAGTAAATTCAATCTGATCGTGCATCATTTGTTCATAAGACACCTTTTCCGTAATTAATCTTCTACCAAAGGGTTTAAATGGTTTGCTTATCGAAAGACCAAAAAATGAAACCTCAATTTCCAAAAAGTATCGTGACCGTAGCTCTAAACCACCAGGAACAGCAATCCACAAATGGATCATTCGACAGATCAAAAGTCGAGGGAATAAAAGATATACATGTCCACATGCGTGAGCGACAACATTGTTTTTGTCGAAGACAGACTCATCGATGCCCATATCTCCAGGATTGCAAAATTCAATCGATATAGCTTCACAGTTTTCTCCGATGTATTCCTTTACATAATGTTGGTTACCTATATATCGCTGATAGTGACTTAATCCTTTCTCTGAAAGTACAGCTCTATTCTGAGCTATTGCTTCTATATGACAGTATGGATGCCATAGTGTATATCGTTCTCGCTCCACGCTGTGCCACCAGAACCACCATTGTATCATTTCGCCCGTTGCTTTAGGAAAGAAAGTTCGACTAGCTGTGAATGCTCTTCCTTCATCGTAATTTGCTCCGTATGCGGTGATAATTCGGTCGGTACCATCGACAACGGTGTTGAGATAGGAGGAAGTACACTCTGGAAGATCGTCTGGTGACAGCGGACCATTGTTCAGAACATGTAGAATATTTTCGGGAACGTATAGATCGCCATTAAAATACTTTGCATATGGTTTTGACTTGATCGCTGCCTTGTTTTTTTGGAACAAAGTGATGTGTACCGGTGGAATATACGGATATCTGATTAGCTTGCCGTCCGACATCGAGTTAGCAGATTTGAATCAAAGATCTTCCTGATTTTCCCTCATGTGTTCGTTGCTTCGATGTTTTTGCTCGTCATTGGATTTCTAATGTATGACAGTCAAGCTTTCAAGCATTGAAAAGAACGTGTCGGACTGTTTAGCGTTTAATATTCTATGAGTTATATTATCGATTCGAACACGTATGTCTTTGATTAAGAATATCTTCTCACATAAGATATTATTGAATGTCGTTATTCTTTCGATTCTTGTTTAGTAATATAATGTAAAGAGCTTTGAGAAAAAACGAACGAAATTTGCAAACACAATGATAATGCTTTAACTGCACCTTTTTCGTTAACATTTTCAACAAGAGTTTATCGACAGTTTATGTAGTTCTTTTTTCTCAGTTGCGCTGAAGAAAAAAGCGACATATAACTGATAAGAAATTATTACTACAAGCATTACAGAAAAATGAGGTGTATATATAAGATTTGACACATGGCACAGTGGGCGTTTTTCCATAGAGCATGCGGACATATTGTTTTTTCAGTTAAAAAGACAATTATTTTCGCATAATATTGCTTGATTATGTCTCAAATGTCAATACAAATAAAACAAGCCAAAGTTGAAACAGAATAATTTTTTTCAGTGCATAATTTTGAATTAGATCCTACGTACGCTAACTTGCGCGACCTTTTGCATACTAAGCAGCTGTACAGAACGAGGACTAGTTCGGAAATTAAAGTTTTTTTTCCTAGATCCTAGGACCAAAGCAGAAATGTTTTTCACTGATAGACAGCTGAGTATGTCTAGATTCGGAATTGGTCGTGTTTACAAATATAACTCGCCTATAACGGGGGGCTGGCTACCCTCGTTTTTTTCACAAGTCTGTAGAACGTATATAGCTGTATGTACCCTGAAGTGTTTTCGATGAACAGACTTATAATTGCTGAGAATATATTTTTATACGAATTTCATACGATTCTGATCGTCTATCTATCGATTTTTATTTGTGATTCATTACAAAAAACAGACAAAAATCTATTTCTGTGCTCACACTGTATTCTGCGCGTGCAATGGACGGATGTGCACACTGGATATAGTATTTGCAGTGAATGCGTACACCCACCTCTTCTGTGCGTACAGAACAAGAAAAAGAGAACAAACCTTGTGAGTTAATTTCTGTTATGTGCAGAATGACAATAGTTGCTGAAGAGAGAGAAAAAAAAGAGAAATACTGCTATCTTCCTTTATATTACTATGTTCGTTCTTTCGTTGATAGTAGTGAATAAGAGAGAGTAAAAAATAAAAGTATATTCTCAAGTAAATGGCTGTTTAGGCAAAGAGAAATTTTATTATTATTCTAACAGTAAATTTCAATATTAGTAGTACAATCATGTCGTATTCAGTGCATGCTGGTATGAAACAAATTCTTAAACGTACACCAGTAGCGCGTGATGGTTTAGGTTTTGATGGCAGTCACGATGGTTACGATGTCATTATTGATTTTGAATCAGCTGAGGTATGAATGTACACCCTTTGGCTATCGACCTAAGAATGTTTTGATTTGTGATTAAATACAGAATTTACCACGAATGGATCTTGCTGGTGGAGCTGATCCATTTTTCAAAGCAAATATTGACGATCAAATCCATTTTACGTACGTATCACTAAGCTGCACGAATGTCACTTTACTTTTTGCTATGAAGCTTATTCAAGACTCTAATTACCCAACTAATTTCAAAAAAGTCTTCAGCTTTGACTCGCCACTGAAAAGAAATTTACAAATTCCTGCGTGTTAGCGCAGGAACCTAAAAAAATGCTGTGAATATTGGATATATACTGCAGGTTTTCCAATTACGTTATCTTGCCGAAAATTTTCTTGCAAGTTGTTTAGTATAATTGTGCAGGATTCTTTAATACGCTCGCTTTTAAATTTTTTTCCTGCAAGATCCTAGAAGCTTTTTTTTTCTAACCACACCATGCAGGAGCTTTTATATGCGTTCCTCGAATATATTTCGCGGATTCTTCATTTTGCATACCCTGCGAAAATCTTCCTCCTTGTTATCACTTGTAATACACAAGATATCTCACTACGCAAACCCTGCAAGATCTGTTCGATTTTATCCTGCAGAAAGGAAACGGTGTCTTCTAAGATAAAGTATTACGGGGCAGATTTTATCTTCCATGTCTATCCTGCAGTCTTTTCTCACCAATGTCTGTCCAGAGTGACCGTGAAGGGACTTGTCTTTATTATTTTTGGAAACGTTTGCACCTTTTTCTTGTAAAACTATAGAAGCTTTTCTCGTTTCCAGTAAACTTCTGAAAAACGTATACCTTGATACATTAACTTCAACTTCTCAATGTTTTTATCGGAGTTTTTAAATTACATACCATTCACTATAGTATTCAAAACTGAAGAAATTAGAATAGTTTGATATCTCTGCTTTGCTATACATCTTTTTTTTCACAGTAGTGGGATCATTCTAATGACTTTAATTTCATATTTATCGAATAAAATAGAATATTCCTAATATAAAAACAACCTTTTCAGCTATCTATTAATAGTTTGGTTTTGTACACACGAAAATGCATGTTAAAGCCAAAATATTAAGGTATACATTTTCTAGAAGTTTATTGGATACGAGAAAAGCTTTTATAACTTTACAAGAAAAATATGCAAAAGTACTTAACTTTTTAAAAATAAAAATACAGACAAGTTCCTCCACAGTCACCCTAGACAGAGACTGGTGAGAAAAGATTGCAGGATGCCGCAGGATAGACATGGAAGACAAAATTTTTTTTCTTTCAACTAACAAAATCATATCATATCCTTCAGGGAACAACTTGCGGATTGAATAAGTCAAAAAGTCGTGCGACATTTCTTACATTTACGTTGGATTATTTTCTACGCTGTTTCTCCGCGAAAATTGTAGGACCCTCTCAAGAGTGGCAAGGAAAAGAATCCTGCGTGAAGGTAAGAACCATCCCCGAGTTTCCTACGCAAAACTCTGCAGAACTTTTCAAGTTTTTTTCAGTGCGTCGTGATCTGTTGCAGTAGAGACAGAAAAAGGCAGGACACAAAGTGAACATATTCATTCTTTCATCACTCGCTCGTCCACACACATCCATCTAGTTTTTCTAGTGTATTCACTCTCTGCTCCAACGAATGTCTTTTGCTCTATTTCGCTCTGTATTCATCACACTTTTAGTTGTTCTGTTATACAATGGCTCAAAAAATTATTCATCAAACTACATGATGTCTCTGTTTTGTGTGCAGAAAGAACATAAGCTAGACAGTTCGGGCACCGCTCTTCGTGAGGAGCAACATCGATGCTCTACATCCAAAACTCTTTAAGCTTTCGATTTTCTGTTCCACGTATATTATTAGAAAAATCAAGAGGGTAAAGCACCACTTCATTTTAGTTCACTTCAACTAGGTAAAACGTCGCTGAAACGGTCGAAATATCCAGAATCACTTCAAGTTCACTTCAAGTTAAGCGGAACTGGTGCAATGGTGCTTTCCCCCGTATCCGGAGCACCGTTTCAACAGTGACGTGGACTGAAGAGAACTCTCTTTACTCTGTTCTTCCAGAATGTTGAGATGATAAAAACTTGTTTTTCAAGATACCTAGCTAAATTATGACAAGAAACGAAACGACCTAGAAACCTAGAAATATGTGCTGTGGATCGCATCTGAATCTGAAAGCGCTTTCAATCGAAAATACTTCTTTCAGAGCACGGAGACCAGAACACGAACCGTTTACTAAAAACTTCGTCTCTTACAACTCCAGCACATATCCAATACTCAAAAAGAGATTTAAAATATTTGCGCACCTACGTTCGATGGATAATCTTGGTTAATGCTGAAGCTTAATAACGAAATAGTTGAATTGTTATGAGATGATGAGGCTGAAGAAAACACTCTTTTATGATATAGGTC